AAATGTGGAGGTTGGTGGCCCTGTGTGTGGTGGGGGGTTGGAGCTTCATGATCCTTGAGGTCCCTTCCAACCCAGGCCATTCTATGATTCTATGATACCCCTTTAATCTTGCATTTTCATTGCACCCAACTGCATGCTCATGCCTTGTCCCTTACACAAAAAGTCTGCATGAAATACCTGCATGTACCACCCAGGGAAACTGTGGAACCACTAGGGCTCCTTGTGGCTAATGAATTACCTGCAGGACGAATGCACTTGGTTCTATGATTCCATCATTCGAACTCTGAGATGCACATTTTTAATCATCAAAATCAGAAGATGAGGCCATTTGAACACAGCCACCCCACCAAACCCTCCCAATGCATTTGACTCAAGGATCCTTACAGTTCTCTTCCAAGTCAGGATATCTTATGATTCTGTGCACTCACATTCACACTCCCTGACCTCCCCATATGGCCCATTGGTTCCTGAAAGAAACAGAAGATGTGTTGGAACCCTCCATCCTGAGGCTCTCACTTTCTGCCACTGCCACACATTCCCAGATCTTCCCGGAGTGAGTGGGAAGAGTTGGGAAGAGCAGTGTCCAACGTTGCTACCCAAGTGGCCAAGCATCCCTGATCTGGTGGACTCGAGGACACTGCAGTGATCAACATGTGCTGCAGGGATTGACTGAGAGCCAAGAACTTCAGAAGACACGGCCAGCAGCAGGCAAGGGTACCCATGTTTTGGAGTGGGAGTGTTGAGTCTACAGAGTTATTGTGCTCCATGTGCACTCACCTCCGAACACAGGTTTGCCACTCCCTTCCCATTCAAGAAGCAGACAAGTACATTTGTCCAGACATAACCTCTTTAAAACGAAGGTTCAGGTTTTGGAAGACTACAATAAATAATTCTGACGTAAATCCCAGGGATGGAACTCATGACCAAACACAGCTCTAAGCATCGGAATCAACCATCAGAATCAACCAGCAATGTGCCTTTCAACACAAGAGAGGAAAAAGAGCTTCTAAGACATAACACACAAATCTCATAAAAACAACCCTAGGGGAGATGCTCTTTCCTTGCCATTATCATGAAAGCAGCACAGGGCATCACATCTCCACACTGCAGCTCAAACTGGGCAGAAAAATGTGGAACCAGAGTGACAAGGAGGGACCATAGGGCAAGGTGTGCGAGCAGCACATCCTAATGCAGCAGCACAGCAAGGAGTTTGGGATTGCATCATGGATTTTTGTCTGAGAGCAGGCAGAGGACAGACTGATAACTCTATGGAAGAGTCCAGGTGGTAATGTGTGGAGCAGGACAGGATACACCCACACTGCTCAGTGATTTTTTGAATGGAAAGGCTGAGAAACTAGAAAAACTGAGGTTGTCCTGTTCATTTTAAAATTTCAAGTAACTCTTCAAATAACTTCCAAAATTCCTGTTGTTTTTCCATTTCCAGCAGTCATTATGGAAAAAAAAAAATCAGAAAGACTGCTCAATGGCACATGGAGCCTGAAGAGGACTGTTTGTCCACAAAACTCCACTGATTTCCATCGGCAGAATCTCCACGATATGCCACACATGCTGGAGACCAGCTCTGGCAATTCCTGGCAGCAGGAGAGCATCATGCACTGCAGCCACGCAACACAAACCCTCAGAGATTTACTCACCAGCTTCACATCTCTGAGCCTGTGGACTTTATGATCAGCTTTTATTTAGCTATAGTTGTAATGAACACGGGGCAGTCTACCAAAGGTTCATGAAGCACAGCATCTTATCAGCATATTAATCAGGCTCTGATAGGGAAAATGATCATGGTGTAAGCTACAATGCTTTTATGGTTTCACGCTTGAAAAGACTGATTCTTCATCCCTGATTCCCCTCCAGTGAGCTTGTCCATTTGCCACAGGACTGGTGAGCACTGAGGACACACAACATGCCCAAAAGTTGACCCAAGGCTGGCGAGCACTGAAGGCAAATAACCTGCCCAAAAGTTGACCCAAGGCTGGCGAGCACTCAGGACACACAACCTGTCCAAAAGTTGACCCAAGACCGTCAAGCACTGAGGACACACAACTTGGTGACCAAAAACAGGCTGAAAAAGTTGACCCAACTACAGAAAGAGCAAAGTTACCCATCCCTGAGGCACATGGTCTTGCTGAAGTTAGAGGCGCCTGCTGGCTGATGTGTATTTTAAGGACTTACTCACATCCTTTTACAAAATACTCAGAGTTAACCACAGACAGAAGTGGTGTAAACGGAAAGACAAAGGATAACGCACCCAAGGAGAACCAGGCATTTGAACACTTGGGACAGGAAAACGCACTGTAAAAATAATAAAATAGCAAATGAGAGTCCGTAAGTGTATTTTTTAAAGTTAAGATCAATTAAAACAGCACTTTACAGTACGATCCAAATTAATTACGTGCTATTTTAATATTCAAACAGTGCTACAGATGTTCTAAAATAAGTCAAATTTTCAAACGGGCAGCGATTACTGGAGCTGGAGCTGCTGGAGCACACAGCCAATAATATTCTGCCCATTTCTTGTGTTAATTTAACACTTCTGACCACTTCAATGAGCACTTCTACTTTCAAACCTTGGTTTATGCACTATTTACCATTTAAGCCATTTAAAACCAAAGCAATCTATCGCTCACAAACTCCAAAGCTGCAATGAGCTCCATGGAAGGGCTCCACACAAATTCTGGGAGGCAACGTTCCTTCCACGCCATTTCAAAACAATCTGAGAAAGAAACACCTGCCAACTCTTTAACTTCATGCTTCTCTTGTGAAAAGTCCATTTTCTCTGTCAATATGCATTTAAATATCCTCCAGAATAGCCTGTGGCTACATAATAAATTGATCAATAGCTGAGCAATGCAAGTTAAAGCATTGCAAATGAAATCCAAGGGTAGAAATCAGCATTAGATAGATAGAATCTGGCATTTCTAAAGCAAGAGCTATGTCAGCTTTCTGTTAATAATTGTTGAAACTGCCCCCGAGCATTGCCTGTCTTTGATACGTAAAGGAATGAATGTTAATTTTTTCCCTTTTTGCAGTGTAACATCAGTTTTCCCACCAAATATTCGACAAATTCATATTTAAAGGGCATTCTGGAATACTACTTGCCTAGCAAAGAAATAGCTCTTCGTCTAAACTAAGAAAATGGGAAAGCCAAGCATCAACATGACCCAGTTACTGCTTTGTATCCATGCAGCCACTTGAATCTTCCTATGTTTGAGTTCCCACTGACATACCCAAGGACCTTAGGACATTTCCTTGAGTCCCATCTCTTCCAACCTTCCGGCCTCAGGTCATGCTGCACATCACAAACTCTGGAAGATGAATGGCTGAAGTTTGGGGTGAAACCAGCCCCACAAGGATGCCTGCTGGAGCTGCCACGAGCAAGGAGGACAATGGCTTTAAACATCTGAATGCACAACATAATCTTCATGGTGATTAACCAGCAGGTTATTTTAGAAGATAATTTCCTATTAATGTCACCATTCGACTTATTCAGAATGCAGTCACGTAGAATTGGTTCATTTAAAACAGAAATCACCCTCTAAATTTCTCCCTCTGGAAAAATGAAGGTACAAGGTAAGAAATGAATATCTGCACCTTGGTGTTTAAATAAAATTGGCCTGGGTTGAAATGGACCTCAATGCTCATCCAGTTCCAACCCCCTGCTGTGTGCAGGTCACCAACCAGCAGCCCAGGCTGCCCAGAGCCACATCCAGCCTGGCCTTGAATGCCTGCAGGGATGGGGCATCCACAGCCTCCTTGGGCAACCTGTTCCACTGCCTCACCACCCTCTGGCTCAAAAACTTCCTCCTCATATCCAACCTAACATCCATGGCTGTTCAAAAGCAGATTAAGAAAATTCAATAAGTATTTAACGTGGAGTTTCAAGCACATGCAAAGAAAGTAAAGTGGGAGAGAAGCAGACTCTTGTCAAATCCATCCAAACACTGCAAAGCACAGAATTGCTGCTCTCTCCAGTGCACTTTGGAACTCCTTCTCCCACCTGAGCACTGCTGGAGTCTGTAGTCCTCTCTCTCTGTGATATTTCTGATTATTCACAGAGAATTTTTCCCAAAGCCTCTCATGCTTTGACTGGAAGACCAAAGTTTCCCTGCGTGAAGTATCTCCAACTAAGCAGCATGCATAAATTTGACTGGAGAAAAGAGAAACGGTGGATCAAAATAGGGCAAAACCTCTTTGAGGAACTCTCCATACTGGAGTTATCAGCCAGGACTCCTCCAGCAACACAGCAGGACAGATCTGCTGCCAGACAGAGGGAGCAGAGCCAACAATGAGCAGATGAAACAGCTGAGAGTATTGGATGCTCGTTTCCATGTGCTGTTGACCACTTCTCTCCACAAAGCAGTCTCACATGTGTGGCTTAAAGTCAACTCATACAGCTGGTAAAGTGAACACAAACGTGGCACTTAATAGCTAATTAATAGCTAATGACACTCAACAAAATGTTAGAAGGAAGAGCGTTCCGAGACGGAAGGCAGGAAGGGTTACACCATCAGAATACGTGCTGGGGAAACAACGCCCAGGGAAGAACACAGACACTCAAATTGAGGTTTCTTCCCAAAGCACAACCCCTCTCTGAGCTCAGTTCTTTCTCCATCACTACACATCAGCTCCCTGCCAGTCGCACAATTACGGCGAGCATAAACCCAATGCCTTTTTCAGGCACTAAAGATGACACTTTTAGACAACTGAGTTCTAAACACAGGGCTTCAAGCAGACACGGGCCTCAATCTTCAACCTAGGATCAACTCACCAAAGTGTAATTTGAAAACAAAAGCAATCAATCAGTCAACAACCCAGTGTAAATCATCACCCACGATAACAACAGCGTGCTCCCCAAATAACTGGCTCCACCAAGGGAGGTCCAATTTCTTCTCATTAACCTCACTTCTCCCTTAATTAAGGGAATCAACACTCATTAACGATGCCCTGCTCCCTCCACCCAACAGGGACGTTCTTGGACCTACCTGTGTACGCCATGTTCTTCGGGTTTCCATAGGGAGCCCCAGGCTGAACGGGGCTGTAAACAGGGTTCATGGTGGAAGATCAGGAACTCTGCAGACAAAAAGAAAGCAGAGGTGAGACAGGAACTCTGCAGACAAAAAGAAAGCAGAGGTGAGACAGCTGCCTGCACTGTGCTCCCGTTCTGAGGTCCGTAGCAGTGCTGTTTGCTAGGATTATTACATTATAATTCAGGACACTGTGAGCTGAGAAAAAAAAAAAAAGGATTTACAGCTTGATGTTACAACCAGATAGTGCATTCCATCATTCAAGTTTTGGATCTGTCCATTATTTCCTCTAACTTCTTCTTCGCCGTTGCACAGACTGCCTATAAATGGAACAGATTAATTTCACATATCCCCTACCTTCATGGGCCTCAGGATTCATAACCCAGCATCTACCGTGCAGTGATCAACCAGGAAAAGCCAGAAATTGAGCAGAGGAATTCACCCCTTCAGCAGAGTCAATGTTTACCGGGTAACGAAGACAACGAGAATGGAGAACCGACCTTTCAGCAATGAGCCAACAAAAGACCCAGCGAAATGGAGAGCAACTCAAAACTGACTCCAGCAACCTCATGCCTAAGCCCTGGGTGCTGCACAAGCATTTGTGGGGCTGCTCAGGGCACGCAGTGGCTGTTTGGGGTGGTCATGGACACGGCAAGATGGCTCATCTCCAACAGCAGCACCCGCTGTCTTCCGTCGAGTTTTATTTAGAGGAAAACAAGTAGCTTGGGAATTTGTGTCTATCAGTTGTCAGTTAAGCAACTGCTCAGTTAATTATCTTAATGAAGCACATTCTCAATTCTGATTAATAGGAAAACCAGTCGTTAAGCTTTATTAGGCGACACATTTGTCTCTGCAGCTAGCTAGCGACAGTTCCAAAGGCGAACCCCGACGATGCTTCTCCAAAATGTGAGGTTTGAAAACGCACTGTTTTACAGCTCGTAAATACAGTTGTCCTTTCCAAGCAAGGCTCTCATGATGGATGTGCAATTTGTTAGATCATTAACTCCTTCCGCCATACCTCAGGACGGTAAACAAGTCAAATGTTAAATGCTAGGAACAACTGACTTGACAACAATTACTGCTTAATTAATTAGCCGCCCCTCCACCCCCAAGTTAGCAGACAAAGAGCAATAGCCAAAGCAAAGGCAACGACAGCTGTAAGGCACACTGCAGGAACTGGCACTGGAGGGATTTGTGAGTGAGCACAAGGCTCCGTGGGATGGCTGTGGTGTTGGCTATGGGATGCCAGCGTGGAGCAGCCATGCACTGCTTGCTGGGTACCACAATACCAGTTCAATCAGAGGACGTCCAAAGGAAGGCTACAGAGATGGGGAGGGGTCTGGAGGGCAAAGGGTGTGAGGAGTGGCTGAGGAGTGCCATCACAGCTCAGTGTATACAGAGCTGCATCCACTGTAGCCAAAAATACCTCTTTTCACCCAGATGCTTTGCTCGTGCCTCCTTCAATGACTTTTTTCTTTCAGCTCACATCCACCATGGCCCTGCAGTGGAGGTTTCACATCGATGGTGGGAATAAGGCAAGAGGGAGTTCCAAATGGCCATAAGCCATTCTGACGAGAAGCAGCACTCTAACGAACCCAAAACCTGGGTGCAACCAGAAGCAATCAGGAGATTACAGAACTCATGTTGAGGCTCCTACAGCAATGCACCGTGCTTTGAGGGCTCCTGTCAGAGGAGATTTGGTTTGGGTTTTGCTCTTCCAGACTGAATGTCCCACCTGGTGCATGGTTTGAAGGAACCCACTGGACCAGCATTGGTTTTCACCACTGAAATGGTGTCCCATGAGAGTTTGGAGGACACTGGGTAGGCAATGAGAGTGGAGCTGCTGAAAGAAACGTGGTCCACACACATCAGAACTGCTCTGTGCGTGGAAATAACAACACAGTTGGTGGGAGCCACCTCCCCACTGCAACTGTGCTCTGAATCACAGCACAGCAAAGCACATAACCTAACAGTTCCTACATAGACACGATGCCTTAAGTCAGAAATGCAACAAACAGGAGCTGAGAGGAAAAGGAAGAGAGCTAATGGATGAGAAACGAGGCATAAAATCCAATACAGGCATGAGATCAGCAGGGCTCAGCTTCCCCTCACCTCTCCACATCCCCTCTTGCTCCTCCTTTAGATAAAGAACAATTCGGTGAACACCACTGCATATGTCTTGGTGCTGTGCCAAAAGGCAAAGAACACTTCTTGAGAAGGACAAAAGAAAATGCCTCTTCGCCAAGACAGACAGATTATAATCACACAATGGGGTTGAGAGCCCGGTGAGGAAGAGGTGCTTCCTCCCCACTTGGTATGCGTGGCATTACCTCCAGCCAGCATGGAAGACTCAATGCATTTCAGACAGATGATTTTCTTTCTTTTTAGCATCTTAAAGCACATTCAGATGAGCTTCCGATACATTCTGCAAGACAATACCATTCAAAACCCCATTTTAAATTCATTACAGGCACTGCATTGTGGCATTCGGAAAGTAACACTGAAACGGGAATAAAAAAGGATTAGCCAAATTAAACCTCCCTCCTCACAATGACTTGCAGCATTTGCTCACGGCCACGAGTGCACAACAAGAAGGCTAACAGAAATGAATGATGAGCAGACAACTGCAAGTATGGCTGCGCTGCATGGAGCTCCCACAGCTCCCCAATCCCCACAGCAGCGATGCTCAGGCTGCCCAGGGAGGCTGTGGATGCCCCATCCCTGGAGGTGTTCAAGGCCAGGTTGGATGGGGCCCTGAGCAGCCTGGTCTAGCATTAGGTGGGATGGTTGGTGGCCCTGCATGTGGCAGGGGGTTGGAGATTCATGATCCTTGAGGTCCCTTCCAACCCTGGCCATTCTGTGATTCTGTGATGCTCCACTGCCTGGAAGCTGCTGAGAGCCCACTAAGAGCTGAAGGAGTGACCCCAGCTGCAATGCCATGGGAATGGGCTGCGAGCAAACAGTCTTGGGATAATTTCTGGCTGTAACCTGGTGACATTTCTTTCTATTTTATCCTTCCTATGCACCATTGGTTTCCTGATGTTGGTTTGCTTTGTGCCTTTGGAAGAGCTCTGTCCGGGACCACCTTCATTGCTTCCCAAAGCAATCAAAGTTTTGAGTCCTCCAACGTTGATGGCCATCAACAATTTTACACACAAATTTTAATGCAAATATTTCTATTGGTGGAAGCAGCATCTCCCACCCCAATACACAGATCTGAAGGCACTGCCCACTTCTGCCACACACAATATCATCGAATCACTGAGGTTGGAGAAGACCTCCAAGATCCCCAAGCCCAATCCCAACCCAACTCTACCAACCACGTCCCTCAGTGCCACATCTCCACAGCTCTGGAACACCTCCAGAGATGGTGAGCCCACCACCTTCATGAAAGCAGAGGAAAAGAGAGATAGTGCTGAAGGAGATGGGAGGAATTCTAAAAGGAAAGCACAAATCCAGCGTGCAAGCTTCAGGAAGGTGATGAAGTTATTTTTCACGTTGTCTGCAGACTAAGCGAAGAAGATTTTCCAACCATAGTGTTGCTTAGAAATAAATATATTTTACAGTATTCTTAAAAGAGGGAGGCTGGCTGTGACAGGCGCATCTTTCACGTTCTTGGGAAATTGAATTGTAGATTGAATCATAAATTTAGACACAACTGCAATGAAAAGAGTAAACAATGTGAAGGTGAGCTATTGTGGATGAGGCACACCGCTCCATCTCGCTCTGTGTCAGCCCTTGTGTTGCACTTTTCAGCCTTCCACAGCATTTTGGTTGCAATGTGCCATCGGGATGTGGTCATGATGGGGGTGGGCTGAGGTCGGACATGGGGATCTGAGAGGTCTTCCCTAGCCTTAATGATTCTGTAGCCTTTTTTGAAATGGGAACGTAAGTGCTTTTTGCTCTAATGTTTTTCTTTTGAAATAGAGTGGCATTTTCTCCATGCACACACCAAAAACTCTATTTCTTGTCAGCCAGCATGGAACCAAACATTAGAGGCTGTGAACAAAGACAAACCCAGAAGAGAGATTTGCTTCTTCATCTGCACATCAATGTTTAAAATCCGTTTCATACAAGTCACACGCTAATTGTATTCAGCCCAAACCTCCCTGAACACAAAAAGCTCTCCTGACCTTACACTGCGTTCTCATTCCAATAATTTTCTGACAATTTTTCAGTTAAGCCATTTGAAGTTTGACCCTCACTTGGGATCTGTCAAAAAGTAATTCAATTAACTTTCTATCCACGTTTTGAAGGGAAATGCACACGAGCTCAGCTTTCCACACAACGCTGTTTTCACAACCAGCACTTCCTACCTACACAACAAAAAATTAGATAGAATCACAACATGGCTGTGTTGGAAGGGTCCTCAAGCCTCCATCCATGGCCTTGGGCACCTCCAAGGTTGGGGCACCCAAAGCTTTGGGCAAAGTAGACTTCTCTGGACATAGCAGAATGAACACATCTCAAGTAGAGAATAATATTTAACCTGTCACAGGTTTTAGAGAAGAATCTGGTTAAAACCAACACTGTTTGGCTTCATCTTTTATTAACAGAATAAAACGTAATTTAAAAAAAAATTAACTGATTTAGACAGGTGAACCGAAGGAAGGCCAGGCTACAGAAAAAGTTCAACACTTCATTTAACTATGAATTATTAACCCTAAGTTTTGGTTGTGCAACACAGTGTCTGCTTTTATCTCTTTAACTACGCCTCAGCTACACTTTGACCATGAGTCACTGACCCTGGAGGAGTTCAAGGAACATTCAGATGTTGTGTTCAGGGACATGGTTTAGTGATTACCATTGGTGGTGGGTGGACAGTTGGACTGGATGACCTTGGAGGTCTCTTCCAACCTTGGTAACTCTGTTTCTCTTTTCTTCCATCCAGAGAAAAGGTTATTCCAATGTGTTTCCAAACAGGACGACTTCAGATTTGTTAGTTCATCAGTTGTTTGGGGGCTTTTTCACTTGCAAAAAGTGCAAGTTTAGGGTTAGGTTTAGGGTTAAAGCTTGCATTTTGTAGAACACAAAATGGGAACGTGC